CCTCTTCTTCAGTTCCGATTCCCAGAGGTCTCCTGGAATGAGCTCACTTATTCATCTCTAAATGAAAGAGTGTGCAGAATGTCATCTGTTGTAAGGAAGAGAGCACGAGACCCTAACCATTCAACTGAGGAAACTGGGAAACACAAGACTGACGTTATTGGCTGATTATTTACTTCTTGACTGCCAGGACCACTTATAAATATAATTTCTTCCGCTTTTTTTTTTTTTTTTTTACTAGTAAGTAGAGAATTGTTTACTTAATGAGACCATCATCTCTCTAACTCTCTGCTTCACCCACAGTGGGCCCCTATCCGACCTTGAACTTGCTAGGCACTCCCCCAGTTCAGAGTCTGTGCACTTGCTCTCCCATCTGCCTCTACAAAACACTCGTTTCCCAGGTATCTCCAGTGCTTTATCCTCAATTCCTTCAGGTCTCTGCTCAAAGGTATCTCATCAGAGACGCCATCCCTGACCGCTTTATATAAAATAGATCCCTATTATAATCAATTCCTTCAAGCTGCTTTGCTTTCCTTCATAGCACTGATCACTATTTAAGTTATTATTTACTTCTTGATTGACTATTTTCCCGAACTAGAATGCAAGCAGCACCAGGGTAGGGACTTTGTTCTATTCCATAATGAATCTCAATGTTAGGATCAAAGCCTGGTATTATAGTGCCACGTAAGACATATTGGTTGAATAAAAGAGTGTGTATTTTTAGTGGCTTAAGAAAGATCTGACTAATTCTTAATATTTGTGATCTTAAAAGGTATTTTATATAGCCAAGTGGAAACAAGCATGTGCATTTATTCAACTAAAGAGTAAAAGTTTAAGAGTTTCGCCCCATTACTTAAGAGGCTCTTCACATGAGATGCCTATGTTAGGCGTTTTCCGTTTCCTTCCTAGAATAATGGCCAGAGTCATTAAGAAAAAGCACACAGAATGACTCAAAGTAATTGTCCTTGGCAAAAGTGGGATGGGTAAAGAGAAAGAAGGGGGATTGATATACCATGACCTGTACTTTCTTTTAGTAACTTTACCAGGTATTGCCTTATTTTAAATTATGTCTGTTCAGTTCAACATCACTAATCATTGGGAAAATGCAAATTAAAACTGCAATGAGACATCACCTCACACCTGTCAGGATAGCTATCATTAATAACTCAACAAACAACAAGTGTTGGTAAGGATGTGGAGAAAAGGAAATTCCTGCACTGTTGGTGGGATTGTAAATTGGTGCATCCACTATGGGAAAGAATATGGAGGTTCCTAAAAAAAAAAATTAAAAATAGAACTATCATATGACCCTGCAATTCCACTATCATATGACCCTGCAATTTCACTTCCGGGCATTTATCCAAAGAAATCCAAAACACTAATTTAAAAAGGCATACGCACTTCCCATGTTTTTTGCAATGAAATATTACTCAGCCATAAAAAAAGAATGAAATCTTGCCATGTAAAACAACATGGATGGACCTTGAGAGGTATTATGCTAAATAAAGTAAGTCAGCCAGAGAAAGACAAACACCAAATGATTTCACAAAACAAAATAAACAAAACAGAAACAGACTCATAGACACAGAGAACAAACAGGTGGGAGGGAGTTTGGGGGATGGGTGAAAAGGGGCAAGGGATTAAGATGTGTAAATTGTCAGTTATAAAAACAGTCATAGGGATATAATGCACAGCATGGGGAATGCAGTCAGTAATATTGTGGTATGTATGGTGTCAGATGGGTACTAGACTTGCTGCGGTGGTCACTTTGTAAGTTACATATATATCTGATCACTATGTTGTACACCTAGAACTCAAATAATATTGTATGTTAACTGTAATTTAAAATTTTTTAAAAAATTTAATTGTGTTTGTCCATGTCTCACTCTCCAACTAGACGTATAAGCCTCTTGTGGGCATGGCCCAATTTATACATCTTTTTATTCTCCTGTAGTTTCTATCGAAATGTGTTGCAAATAGTAGGTAATCAGAAAACACATTTATGTAATGAAAAAGACCTGTAGGTATCAAATAATATTACATACACACACATATACTCTCTCTGAATATTTATTTTATATATGGTAGTAAAATGAGTTTCTAAGCTATCATTGCCTTGCTAGAACATGCTTGTTGATAAAAGTGATAAATCTTCATAAAATTTAAGAAAGGGGAACAGAGAATTTTGAAATATGTCCTAAGACAAACTGTGCTAAAAAAAAAAAAAAAATCACTTTGTTTTAATTAGTGACAGCATCATTGCAGGACATTTTTCCATATAAAAAGCCCACAATTGGAAAAAAAAAAAAAAAAAAAAAAAAAGATGCAACTACTTCAGTCTAGACGTGTTAACTGAAATTACCTTCCCATGCGATCCAAAAAATTACCTATACGCTGGTAAGTTTATGGGAAAAGATCCGGGGTGCACTCCTTTAGGTTACTTTCAGAAAAGACAGGCAGGCCTCCTAGGCAGAAGCTGACAAAGCCAAGCTTGGGACCCTCCCTTGCCAGGCAGGTAGCTCCAGCAACTGCTCAGGGATTCTTTTCCTTAAGAGCCCACACCCCCATCCCACCTGACATCCCCAATGGCGTAAGCTTCAGGTACATAAAACCTGCACCGGGCCTGCCAGTCCTCCTTAGATTATTAATATTAAGGAAGCTGGGCTATCATTTGTAAAAATGATCCAAAATTCATTTACTAATTTCCAGCACCTCTCTATCGTCCAAGAAGAGTGGGGTCTACAGGTGCTCCTCTTTGCAGATCCAGCTGTGACTGCTTTTCCCACCCAGGATGCAAAGTTAACTCTTGGAAACCATAGACAGATAAAAGATAGATTTTCATTAAATGTGTACATCTGTAATCCTAGGTGGTTATTACCCATAAAAAATCAAGTAATGCATGTAGCGAAACCAGACTGCTAGTATTTAGAACTCAATTTCAATACGAACTCAAGGGTCCTTGGTGCTAAGTGGTCACAGGTGAAAATAAATCCCACCCGTTTGCATTCCTAATTCGTTGCAGTTGGGTGTTGTATATCGCCAAACCAAGCAGAGCAACCAGAAGTTAATTGTGCGATTTAATCGAGGCATTACAGTAAGTCTCGGCTGATATTCCCTTAGATTAGGAACCATTTTTGACACGAAGATCAAACCAAACCAAAAAAAAAAAACCCTGCTGTCATCTCGGCTTTTGGCTGCTGACGTTATGTTTTGGTTTTTTGTTTTTTCAAAATCGAGTGGTGATTTCTTAAAAGCCACAGAGACAATTTGGGGGGAAGGGAAGGGCATTCATGCAGCCATAGCCCCTCCTACCCGCACCCCTCCGGGTAGCACGCACTTCACTTTGCCTGGGTAGGTAAGCGGTACACATACCTGGCACACTGTTTAAAGTATGGCAGCCTGTGTGGTTAGATATGCCTACTCTACCAATAATGGCTTTCCTCGGAAACGTTCTCCCCCTCCCTCTCCACCGCAAGGCATGCCCTCTGCCCAGAGTCCCTCGATTAGGGAATGGCCCCCCAAGGAGAGAGGGGCCGCGGCCTGCCCCGGCCCTGGAGGAGACCCCCTTCGCCAGGTGCCCTTGGGGCAGCCGGGCCACCAGGCTGGAGCCACCACGGGAAGCAACAAGGTGGCCACTGCGCACTTGCCCTCAGCCGCAGCCCGTGCCCGGCCCTTGGACGGGCCCCAGAGGCGGGGGGCAGGAGTGTCGCCACCGAATCCCGAGAAAGGCCGCGCGGGACCCACCTCCGGCTCCCTCCCGCGCCCGCCCTCGGCCCCACCCCCCTCCCCGCACAAAGCCGCCCGGAGGCGGCGGCCCGGCCTGCTCGGGAGGGAGGCCGCCTGGACGCGGCTGGACCGGCCACCGCGCCTCTGGGCCGCGCAGGCCGCCGATCGCCGGGAGTCAGGAGCTCCCGTCCCCGGACGTGCAAGGAGGCGCGGGAGTCCCGGCTCGCCCTTCCAGGCGCGGGGACCCCGAGGCCCCGCCGCCCGGGCCCCCCAAATCTCCGTCGGCGGGTCCCCGAGAAGGCCCGGCGCGGCCCACGCATCCCGCTAGCCACGCCCGAGGTGGCGGCCTCCGGCGTGGAGAGCCCGGGCCGCAGGGGCGCCCCAAAGGCGTCCGGACACGGGAACGAGGGCGTTGGGGGGAGGGATGGGGAGGATCGACAAGTTGCAGGCGACCCTTGGGGGTCCCCCCCCCCAACCCCCAGACGCCTGAAATCAGTTCCTCTCTTTCCCCAAAGGCCCTGGCCTCGCGCTCCGTCCTGAATTCGCCAAACAAAGCGGGGGCGCCCGGGGGGCTGGGAGCGGGGCCGCGCGCAGGGACCCCAGGCGGCCCCCCTGGACCCCGGGCGCCTCCCGTCGGGGGCGCACACGCAGCGCCCGGGCCGGTGCGGGAAGGGGAAGATGGCCGTTTCTGCCCCGGGATAAAGGCTCTTTGTGTTGCGCTCACACAAAAGCCGCCGAGAGACCCGCTCGCCCTTCCAAGCAGGCCCTCTGGGCACCTCGGCAGGAGCCCCGGCTGCACCTCCAAATGGCCCTGGAAGCCTGGAGGAGGTGGGGGGCCCCCGAAGAAGAGAGGGGAACAACAGGCCTCCCGCCCTGGGCCACCCCAACCTCTGTCACTAGCCAAGCACTCGTCGGGGGAGACGGAAGGGGGGTTGGGGGGTTCAGGTCTTTCGTAAAGGGAGGGAGGAAAGAAGAAAAAAACATCAAGGCCCAAAAGGGGAGGGGGGGACGGGGGGACGGGTATTCAACATTCACATTCTTGTAGGGTTTCTCCCCCCCTTGAACCAGGGTAGGTAGAAATTTAATCTGGGGAAGGGGGGGGGGAAAGGGGGGGGGGTTCTGGACACACCAAAAAAGAAAAAGAAAAAAAAAATTTTTTTACCAACAATAGCAACTTAAAAAAAAAAAAAAAAAAGCAAAAAACCATAACAAACCAGTTGCCATCAGCCCAAAGTGGTAGTAGCAGTAGCAGCAGCCGGCGCGTGTGATCCACTTACTTGTCCGACTCTTGTGACATGTTTGATCCAATGAACTCGCTCCCCTTTTTCCCGGAGCCTCAGCCTCCCGGTGAAACTGGACTTTCAAGTCTGTGCAGGTGAAGGTGTGTGAGAGCGCGCCCGCCCGAGATGGCAGAACAAGAGCTACAGGTAATTCTGCTTTTCCCGTTCCCCCCGCGCCACTCTCTCTCCGGCTCGGCTCGCCCGCGCCCTCACCTAGCCGGAAAGGTGGGACAGAGGAGGGGCCCCTCACATGGGGCCCGCGCTCGGAGGCGGGCGGGCGGGCGGGCGGGCGGCGCGGGGTCCTCCCGGATCGCGGCAAAGTGGGCCGTCCCCCGAGCGGAACGCGGCGCGGACTGGGTCGGGGCCCCAGGTAACTTTCTCGCCAGGAGCCGAATTCTTTCACTAAAGGGTACGGGCCCGAGGGCCGAGCCGCGCGCTGATTGGCTGCGGGCGCGCTCAGGTGCGCTGCCATTGGCAGAGGCGCGCCCAGGTAAGGAAGGCCCGGCGCCCGGCGCAGGTAACGCGCTCCTCCGAAGTGGCCCCGAGCGGGAGCCCGGGGTCGGGGCCTCGAGTTGACTTCACGCTGCAACACGTTGTCCTTCTTCCCCGCTGGCCGGCCCGGGGTGTGGCGGGCGCGGGGGCGGGGGCCGGGGTGGGGATGGGAGGTGGAGGTGGGGATGGGGGTGGAGAGGGAGGCTTGGGGAAGAGAGAAGGAACCAGGAAAAAAAAAAAAAAAAACAACAACACCTGCAACCACCACTAGGGATTATGGGTCGAACGGAAGGACTCGGGAGAGCTGGACTCAGGGAATCCCAAGCCAACCGGAATCCGAGGCGCAGCGCACAGCCACGGGGCTTTTCATGCCCACAGTGAGGACCGTGTGACAGTTTCCGAAGACTTGCAAGTTTACTTTGTGCGCAGAGGCGGCGGCAAACTGCACAACGATCGATCGCCGGGTGTGCTAAGTCATGGCTTTGTGAACCTGTCCACAGCCAACACCTTCCGCGCCCCGGTGCGTCACCTGTGCCCAGGAGATTGCAGCTGTGCTAAGAGGGGAGCATCCTTTCAAGAGCTGGGCAGGTGATACTGGTGTAGTGAAGAGGTTTCGCTGAACAGACTATACATTGCTCGCCTCCCGGCGCACCTTTTTTCATTTCAACTCTGCAGTTTGGGATTCCAGAGCTGCAAACAACCACGAACCTGTCCCATAATAAACCTGTTGTCTTTTTGACGTATCCAGGCAGACATCAACATTGACATTGTAATTCAATAGAAGCCGTGACTACAAAGGTGCTTTATCCTTCCAGTGTAATATGGTTGCTACAGAAACAATTCAGGATGAAGCTGACTTTTTTCTGAGTGTGTGTGTGTGTGTGTGTGTGTGTGTGTGTGGTTCTGCTTCACCTGGTTGGAAACAACTCGAACTAGCAAAGGTGCAATTAATGTATAATCACTGCTCCTCCCCAAGTGTATTTGTGCAAGTTTTTTGTGTTTTTGTGTTTGTTTTAATAGGGATCTAGCCCATACTTATGGATTGTGGAACTGGAAGGGGGATGTGAAAAGCTTACCATATTTTATCCAGGTTACATTGCGAGAGTTCACGCAACTTTTAATCTTTGTGGATCAGATGTTTTCTAAAAATTACATTATGAAACAATGTTTGATTGTTCCGTGTTTTCACTGAGTAGCAAATGAATTTCAAAAGTTTGTCCTTACTTTTTAAAGACAGTAGAAATACTCACAGTTTTTAAAGATAATATAATATTTTAAGATTCTAAATTACCCACTTCTTCTCTTCCTTCTTAATCACCTTCTGAGAGGCAACCACACTCCACTTTTAGCTGTCTCTTTTGTCATTTACTTCCAGAATTATAAATTTTACTGTTATCTCTTGATTTCTCTGTTTAGATGGCACACGTTGACTACCTCTTGCCTCAGATAAAGATTCAGCTCATACACACCCACCCGCCTTCCCCTTCTGTCATTCTTCCAACGCTCTTTCACAGTGTAGAGGTAGTAAGTAGTTGGTGACTGTGCATACCAGTCAGCAGAGCCAACTGGTGAACTATGGTTGGTTTCCTTCTTATAAAATCTTTTATATATTTACTTTGTTATGCACCCACCTGGTATTTTTTTCTACAACATGTTGATCAAATAACTATCAATTTTATTTCCCAAATGATCAAACAGTCAACTTTATTTTTCCCATGGCAACATCCCTCCAAGTCTTCTGTCCTCCTGTCCAATGGAGATGAGGATTCTAAATTGAAATTTTTCATTCATAAGTTTGTAGAAATTGCTTTTTTATTTTCTAGCATCCAATGTTGAGAATTTCAATGTCACCTTTACTCCATTCTTTTGTGAACGGCAATTTTTCTTTTTGGAAACTTTTAGAAGAATCCCTTTACCTCTTACATTTTGAAATTTCATAATTATGTGCTGGGTCAATGGCAAAGATTTGCCTAAGTTCAAATCATGCCTCTACTACATGTCCTTCAGCAAGTCACTTATTCTTGCTATGCTTCAGTTTCCTCACTTATAACAATAATATATATATATATATATATATTATTGTTATAAGTTATATATATATACACATATGGAAGTAATAATAGTAATTTCCTCACTGATATATATCAGCCACTTAGAATAATGCCTAAACACATAGTAAGTCCTCGATTTTTGTCCACTCATTTCTTTTTTGAAACTCTTAATTGGATTATTGAATCCTCTAGATTAATCTTAGAATTTTTTCCTTTCCTTTGAAAATCTCTTAATCTTTTCTATTTGGGGGAATAGTTCCTTACTTTACTTTCTATTGATTTTATCTCAGTTATTCTAAGAACTCTTTTCATGTTTTATGTTATTCTTTAATATTTTTGTTGATTTTTAGAAAGAAAGTGGGGAGAGAAAGGGAAGGTGGGGGGAAACAATGTGAGAGAGAATGTCAATCAGCTGCCTCCTGCACATCCCCCACTGGGGATGGAGCCTGCAAACTAGGCATGTGCCCTGACCCGGCATCGAACCAACAACCTTTCGGTGCACAGAACAACTGAGCCACACCAGCCAGGTGTTTTATGTTATTATAAACATAGAATTCTATGAACATGTCACAGTTGGAATAATTTCTTTTCTTTTGAAAACAGTTCCTATAGGGTTTTCTGCTTCCTGCCTTCTTTCTGCTTCTGGTTTCTCCCCATTCCTCCCTCTTTCTCCCCCCGCCCCCCTCCCGCCCCCAAGTATTTGTTGTAGTCCCATCATGTAAGAGGCTTTCCTCAAATGCCTGCAAACCTTTGACTATTCATACTGAAGAAGAAAGTCATAAAACCCACCAGAGACTATGTGTAAGGGGTAAGAAGTGGACCTGCACATCGGTAGGTTGGACGTCCGGTGATCAGGTGAGAGCTAGTCCTTCTGTAGAAGAACCCCCAAATGTCAGAAATGAGTTTGATCTTTCAGGCTCTTCAGTTTCTCAGAAGGAATATCTGTATCTCTTTCCTAAAGGGACATTCACCTGGCTGCCACTATTCTGGAAGAGGTTGAGAGAAAAGGTACATCACTCCGGTCTTTGTTGCTGCCTGGTGTAGGAGCCTCTCGAATGTTTCTCCTGCTGGAGTTGTAACCACCTGTCTGCTAGGAGTGAAATGCGGACCTGAGGCTCTAACAACTGCAAATGCCCACATTCACTCAGCCCCCTGCTTCTCACCTCTCCTTCAGCTTTGGAATCCCTGGGCGAGGTTGGTGGAGGAGAAGGACCTCGGGGACCATTTTAAATTATCACCCAGTTGTTTTAATTCTTCTGGCAGAAGAATTGTAAATCAATGTGAAAGTTACTGCCACACCCACCGTGAGAGTTTTTCTCCTTAAATATCTTTATCCATAAATACTTAAGCACAGCAGTGGTTCCCAAAGTGTGGCCTCTGGGTGGACAATCAACATCAGATCACTTGGGAACTCGTTAGAAATGCATATTCATTCATCAATTCATCCCAGACCTACTGAAGCAGATACTCAAGTAGGTGGGCAGGAGTCTATTTCTAACAGCCCTACAGGTGGTTCTGATACGGATTGGAGTTTGAAACACATCAGTCAATTACACTGACAGGAGAAAGTAATGCATCCTTAGCCGATATAGAGTTTTCCAACAACTTTCAATAACCATGAGGTAAGGTGGATTTTACCTGTCTTGATTATTCCATTATCAACCTAGTGACTGTTTATATAATGGTTGACCATTGTCCTTTTTAAAATATATAAATTTTTATTGACTTCAGAGAAGAAGGCAGAGGGTAAGAAAGATAGGGACATCAATGATGAGAGAGAATCATCGCTCAGCTGCCTCCTGCACACCCCCCAATGGGGACGTAGCCTGCACACAACCAAGGCAGGTGCCCTGACTGGGAATTGAACTGTGATCTCCTGGTTTATAGGTCAACACTCAAACACTGAGCCACACCAGCTGGGTGATCATTACCCCTAATTGGAGCAGTTAGCACATAGAAGAAGGAAGAGAAGAAGAACCTCGAATTTGCCACAGCACTCATCATAAACTTAGGAGTTTCAGCCCCATTTAATTTAATGGTCGTTTTAGGCAGCAGCCACAAAGTAAATTTTTATATGAAAAGGTCGTGTTAAGAGAGTACTGTTTTGAGAGTAAATTATTTTATTTATAAAGTTAAAGCTTTAATTACATTTCCAGGGAAGAAAAAATAGTATAATTATTTTTTTATTTTAGTAGTGGTTGTTAGCACCTACTGTATTATGATGGCTAATCCCATTTTCATAAAGTAAAATATACAGTATTTGATGCTAAATTGTCATAAAGGCAAGTCTCTTATAGTGAGACTGGGGAGAAGGATAGTACTTCTCAGGCATCGGGGAAATATCAAGTTTGAAAGGGTTATAGATCTGATCTAAAGAGTCAGCCTGCTCCCTGTTTGCCCCCTACATGTTATCATACACAGGGCTATTCCAATAGATCTGTTGTTAAATTCACTGTGGAGTCAATGGTAAGTGGTATCTCATAGGTTGTTTTGCACTGTAAAAACACTAAGTTGTTTGATCATCTATTGTCCATAAGAAGCAGCTTTGGGAAGAATGGAATGTACCTAGAGACCTGAATTTGAAATATAATACTGTCTCTACAGTATTATAGTGTTATAACTTAACAAACTGAGCATTAAGTTGCAGTTCCCTTGCAGTTTGAAGCCACTTCTGTTTTTCGTGGTAGCATGGATATGCATATTTGCATGAACACTTACGGATTTCATGATGGCTCTTGAACTAGCAGCGTGAAATTCAGCCAGCAGCTAGCTGAAGTTTGCATATTTCCTTCAGGATAGCACACATTTCTGTTGTGTGGGCTGGCCATGGGGAACTCTTCAACAGAAAGCATGTCCTGAAAAAACATAGTGCATTGAATCTTACTTCCTTTTAATATATATATATATATATATATATATATATATATATATATATATATATATATATAACACATATATAATATATTTAAAATATACTGTATATTATATAATATATATTATATATATAATATATATATATATATGGCTTTATTGATTTCAGACAGATGAAAGGAGAGAAAGATAGAGACATCAATGATGAGAAAGAATCATCCTCTATTGGCTGCCTCCTGCATGCCCCCTACTGGGGACTGAGACTGCAACCCAGGCATGCGCTCCTACTGTGAATCAGACCATGAGCTCCTGGTTCCTGGGTCAATGCTCAACCACTGAGTCACACCAACTGGGTCTTAATTCCCTCTTTTGTTTTTTGGAGGTATATTTATTTTTTATTGAATTTATTGGGGTGACATTGGTTAATAAAATTATATAGGTTTCAGATATACAGTTCTACAATATACCATTTGTATATTGCATTGTGTGATTACCACCCCAAGTAAAGTCTCCTTGTATCATGTTTATCCCCCATACCCTCTTCTACCTCCCTCCACACCCCTTCTCCTCTGCTAATCACCATGCTGTTGTCTGTGTCTATGAGTTTGTTTATTGTTTGTCTTTTTGCTTAACCCTTTTCCAGTGATAGAAAAATAAGAGAGGAAATGAGAAGGTTAAAGATGACAACAAAATTTGAAAAGTGCAAACTGACTACAGGAGAAGAACCGATTTAACCCAGCCAAGACAGGTGAACATGATCTTATGCAGATACTGAGGATCAAGGCTGTTTAGCCTGTAAAACCCCATAAAGATATAGAAAGCAAAAACTGGGCATGTGTTCTAGGTTAACCAACAGGCTTAATATTTAGAAATTTGGAAGTAAAGGCTAGGATTTTATTTTTAAAGAAGCTACAGTAATAAAAAAATAAAATAAACTGTTGCCTCTTAGGAATAGGATTGGAATGTGGAAAAGAATAAAGCATGGATTATTTTTTTAAATAATATTAATGTTATTTTCAATGTTATTACCCAGTGTAATTATTTTATTTTTAAAACTATGTATATAGCTTTAGATACATAAATAGTTTATATACACATATATACAATTTCAATAGAGATAGAATTAATTCATAAAATAAAAGTACAGATCACAAACATATATGTTCCCTCTTGCCCAGGGTCTTTGCAATTACTCTTCCGTCTCCTTAAAACTCTTGCTCCTTTTTCTCCTTCTCTGACTATCTCCTAATCTGACCAACCTGCTCAATCATCTGGTCCTCAAGAAAGCCTCTTGGGCTCTCCCAGGTCAGGGACAGGTATATTGGGAAAATACATTTCTCCATTATTTATTTACATAGCATCACACTCCTCTTCTTGAAAACACTTATCACAGTTGTAATTTCACATTCCTGTGTGATGTATTTGATCATTGACCATCCTCTTCCACTAGACTCTAAGCTCCATGCGGACAGAGATGATGCGTATTACTGGCTCATCATTATCTCCCTAGTGCCTAACACTATAGGTAGCATTTGGCAGATGTTTGATGAGTAAGCAACAAATACTCTGAATTATGAACATCCTTCCTATTCTACAACTTGAAGAACTTTGAAAGAGACAATATCAAATTGAGCATCTTCCTCAACAATGTTGAGTAAATAAATGAATTCTATAAGCATTAATAGAATATTCCAGGCTTCCAGTTGGGTTCCTCAGTTAAGTTTTGATAGTATTACATGAGATAGGCAATTATAACAGTGAGAATGCTTTCAGTAGTGAGCAAAAGAGCAGCAAGCTAGTAGGGTCTTTACTCAAGACCAGTTACTTTTTCTTGCCTGATAAGAAGTCTGGGAGCTGGTGCAGGGAATAGGAATTGCTGACATTTGATTGGCAGCTCCAAAGCTCTTTGCACTTTTCTGCCTCTCACGATAAAAAGTATCATGTAAAAAGTATTCTTATGCAACCAAATTTAAAAGTAGGAAGAAGATAAATAAGGAACACATCTCAGGAATGAAAAATCTTTCCCAGAAACCCCCATCAGATGTCCCAATATTTCTCATTGGCCAGAACTGGGTCACATGACCACTATGAATCATGAGCTGGATCCACCTTTCATGAGATTAAGGAATTTCCACTGGGTATATGAACAAATCAGGGTTGTTATAACAAGAAAGTAGTGGGGGACTGGTGTTTGGTTAAAAAAATAAAATCAACAGTGGTACCACATGGATTATTAGTAAGCTGTATAAGTAGGTGATTTATTTTACCTTTATTTTGGGTAATGTAAATAGCAGATCTGAAATTCAAATCTTGATCTGTCTTTTTGCAAAATCTGTACAATGTCATCTCCTAGATGTGAAGAAGTTCTTCCTGTTTCAAAATGTGGTAGATTTGGTCAGGAAAGGCTTTGTGGAAGAACACTTTAGGCATGGTTTTGAAGGAATAAAACACATATTGGGTTGATGGAGAGAATGAGGGTGGTTGTGGGACATTATATTAATGCCACACTCTTCATTTTTATTCTTGCATAAAATGCTTTTCATGTATCCCATTGATCATCAGAGCAACTCTCCCTATTTTGGGAATTTATTGTTGCTTTGATGCTCTACATGATCTATAAATAAACTGAGAAGAGATGACATTTACCTAAGGGGAAAAAATGCCAAAATGAGAACCCAGAGACCATAGCTAGGGCTACGGAAGAACAGAATGTTCTGGCTGAGATTTTTAATGAGGCATGCCCATTGTGGATGCCTCAATATTGTCTTGAAAATGCCTGGAGCTGGAAAAGCATATTCAAGTAACCTAATGACATGTAACTGCTCCTTCCCTGTTTAAAAACCTTCCGCTATTCCTCAGTACACATAAGGTCACCTAATCTACCAACAGAGAGGTTCTTCAAACTCCCGTTACCTGAATCCATCTTTACTGGACTTCTGCATAAGGAGACCTGAGTTGGGTGTGGCCAAATATGGAGTCTGCAGAGCTACAAACTGGAATGAACTATTCCTGTCCAAGGCTTGAGAATACCCCCAAATTATAACATAAGCAGACACCAAAACCGGTTTGGCTCAATGGATAGAGCGTCGGCCTGCGGACTGAGAGGTCCCAGGTTCAATTCCAGTCAAAGGCATGTACCTTGGTTGTGGGTACATCTCCAGTAGGCGGTGTGCAGGAGGCAGCTGATCGATGATTCTCTTATCACGATGTTTCTAACTCTCTATCCCTCTCTCTTCCTCTCTGTAAAAAGTAAATAAAATATATTTAAAAAAATAATAATATAAGCAGAGCCATAAACCATGCATGAAAATTGAGAAGTGGATCAAAAATGCCAGGGGGGAAAAAAAAAGAAAAAAAAAGACCTTAAGGCAAAAGCAGATATCAATGCTGGGCCATGAATCTAGCATATCAAGCCAAGAGACATGAGTAAGTATAAGCCAGTTGAGAGCATTGAGATTCAGACAGCAAAATATTTACGGCAATTATTTGTGGCATTCACTGATGGGGATTATTTGATTGTATTTTCTAACCTGTTTCTTGGGACAGTCCTATAACCTCTCCTGTATCATGTGATCTCAATACTTTCTTGGGTGGTCCTGGCAGAATGTTCTGACCTTTTCCAGGGTTCTCTGGAGAGACTAGGCAGGTCTCTGTCTCTGAAGCACACACTGGTCCATGCCTGTATCAGAGGTTTTGGGCACAACAAAAGCCTAGCACATCTTTTCACTGTACTTTTCCCATCTCTAGTTGGAGAGCTTCGGGCCAAGATGTGTGTGAAGAGAGAAGGGGGATGTGGCGGTCCAGCCCATCGGGAAGGGGATTGTCGTTGGTTGGGTGGTAGACGGAGCAGCCAGATGAAGGAGGGCTTCTGAGGCTATGACTGGTGCCCAGGTAGTAGTTTTCCAAGTTAGAAGAGGGCAAATTTTCAGGGAGGTGAACCCTTATAGTGTTGCCCAATTCAGATGCCCTCCCTGATTCTTAGGATGTTAGAGATGCATATTTATTATCTCACACAGTTTCTGAGTGTTAGGAATCTGGGAGCAGCTCTGCTGGGTGGTTCTAGCTCAGGGTCTGTCATGAGGTTGCGGTCAAGCTATCAGCCAGGTCACAGTCATCTAAAGGCTAGAGGATCTCTTTTCAAGTTCACTTATGTGGTTGTTCCACAGACTTGGATGGGGGCTCAGATACTTGCCATGTGAATCTCTCCATGGGGATGTCTGAATATACTGAAGAAATGACTGCTGGCATTTGTTAAAATGAGAGAGGGGAAAAAGAGGGAGAGGGAGAGAGAGAGAGGGAGAGGGAGAATGCAAAACAGAAGCCTCAGCATTTTTCATAACCTAATTTTGAAAGTGGCATACTCTCCCCTATGCTGTATTCTATTGGTCACACAAACCAATCTTGGTGTGATGTGGAAGAGAACTATACGTAGGTGTAAATATCAGGAGGTGAGATCATTGGGGCCATGATGGAAGCTGCCTATCATATTTTCAAAGCTTAAAAAAAAAATAACTTGAAAAACTAATGGACAAAATAGACCCTCACATTTTCATTTATGACAAAGCTATATGAAGCATAGTGGGGATAGGACAGTCTTTTTTATTTTTTAATTGATTTTAGAGAGGAAAGAAGAGAGAGAGAGAGAGAGAGAGGAATAGAAACATCAATGATAAGAACAAATTATTGATCGGCTGCTTCCTGCATGCCCCCCACGAGGGATTGAGCCATAACCTGACCAGGAATCGAACTGTGACCTCCTGGTTCTTAGGGTGATGCTCAACCACTGAGCCATGCTGGGTGGGTTTCAGGGCATTCTTTTTACTAAATTATCTGGGTCAGTAGGCTGTCCAAATTGGAAGGAAGGAAGGAAGGAAGGATAAAACAAGGAAGGAACTTGACCCTCACCTTTCACAAAACAAGGTGGATTGTAATATTAAATGTTAAAATTAAAACAACAAACCTTCCAGAAGATAATGTGGGAAAATACCTTCATACCTTGGAGTACACAAACATTTCTTAAACAGAACAAAAAAGCACTATCCATAAATTGAACTACATTAAAATTTAAAACTTCTATGTTGTTAAAAGAATTAAAAGAAATCCACACATCAGAGAAAACATTTTCAACACATATAAATGTTTGTATTGAAAAGATGTATTGATTTCAGAGAGAAGTGAAAGGGAGAGAAATAGGAACATCAATGATGAGAGAGAATCATTGATCTGCTGCCTCCTGCCCCTACTGAGGATGGAGACTGCAACCCAAGCATGTGCTCTGCCTGGGAATCGAACCAAACCGTGACCTTCAGGTTTACTGGTCGATGCTCAACCACTGAGCCATGCAGGCCAGGCCAAAAACTTACTTCCAATGTATCTTAAGACAATAGGCTTATGAAAATAATACGGATATCTGAGGACACGGTGTAACAAATATATATTCTTTCAGAATGTCAAATCAGTTTTGCAGGAGACCTTCAAAGAGTTCTGTATGTTTCTTATAAAACGTAGTTTTCATGTTGGATTCTTTAATGATTCCATTTTCTCCACAATAAATAAAATCTCTTTTTGCTTTTCCTGGCTGCTGTAGTTGAGTCCCGGCATTTTGCCTTTCCAGATTGATTACTTGAGTCCTGGTTTCAGCTGTGAGCTGATAGAAATTGTTGGTAGAAATTTACCAAGTATCCACCCACCTATGGAACCCGAACTGTAGCTAGACATCTGTGGTAAAAAAAAAAAAAAAAAAGTAGAAGCAGCAAGAATAGGCACAGTAGGTAGGACAGAAAAGTCAAAGGCAGAGAAACAAATAGTCTGAGAGTGGAATTCACCTACCTGGAATCTGGGAGAAAGCTGCAGTGAGTCTAGAGCTGGCTGGGCTGCCACAGGCAAAAGGCAACGTGGATCCTCAGGCAGGATCAGCCCACTCTCCCCACCTGCTCTGTTCCTTGCACCTGCGTTTCAGCCCTTAAAAGGAAGACAGCCTGTCCCTAAGAGGGGCT